GCCCCTCCTGTGCCCCTCCTCCCCGGTACGTGTCCCCCCCCGTGCCCCTCCTGTGCTCCTCCTCCCCGGTATGTCCCCCCCTGCTGGGCCCAGCCGAGCGGCAGCCCAGCACCCTCCCCCACAGCGTGCGCCCGGCCTTGCCCGGCCCACTCCCGCGTGGCTCAGAGACGCAGCGTGTCAGCGCGCCGGGGTGAATCCGGCCCCGGCAGCTCAGCCGGGAGTTCCCGGATCCGCACGCGCGGCTGGTCAGACGGGTACGGCAAACCCGGGGCCGTGTCTACACGGCAGAGTTTGGTTCACGAGTTACACTGAGTCCCCACTAGCTCTCTGTGCCGGCAGAGTCCGGCGGGGACCTACCCACCGTGCGATGGGCCGCAGGGGCTTGTGGGGGTGGGGGGCTGCAAAACCTCATGGGGAGGGCCAGCGTCACGGGCTGCATCGTCCCCTGGCGGCCGCTTGGCAACTGACGTGTGAGACGGGAGTGAGTGTGTGTGTGGGGAGACGGAGTATGTGTGGGGCGGCGAGTGTGTCGACACGCCCTCTCTGTACGGTCACACAGCAGCCGGAACAGCCAGTCCTGGGGAGGGGGACCCCCCCCCCCACAGCACAGTGGTCTCGCCCCGCCGCTGTGCCAGGAGAGCAGAATCCCACATCCATGCTTCGCCGCGTTCTCCCGGCGCGCCCCCCGCAGTGGCTCTGAGCTCTCCAGGCCGGGGCTCCGAGTGCAGGGAGGGGGCGTGTCTGCAGGGCACCGAGTTGCAAACGGAGCAGAGCGGTCAGGGTGGGCATTGTGGGATACTGGGGGAGGCCACTCCCGAACGTGTGTGGCTCTGCTGTGCTCTCCCTGGGCGGGTTCGATTTTCTCGGCAGAGCAGCCGTGCAGCGTGCCCAGCTCCCGGTCTGCCAGCCCGGCTACGCCGCGTCGTGTAGACAAGGGCTCAGTGAAACCGCGTCAAAGGGGCTCCAGCGCAGGCCAGGCTCCGGGTTCTCTCGCCTGCTGCCTCTTCCCCAGCCACGGCCGGCTCTGCCCGCGCACCACACGCCGCCGGCCCCCCTCCTCCTCCGCAAGAGTCTTGCTAAGCCGGGCGTTTTCCACAGACTTTGGCCCCCCCCTTGGCGGAAGGACCCCCACACCTCCCTGGACCCTGCCCCCCCAGGGAGCCCAGCTCCCAGCATGCACCACGCTGCCCCCCAGGGCTCTGACCCCCATTCTCGGCTGGCCAGAGCTCTGGGCCCTGGCGTCCGTGCAGTACAGGGGCCAAAGGGGACGTCCCGCCTTGCTTGTCTCCCCCAAGGCTCAGTGACCCTGGTCCCCGAGGCCGGGTGAGCTCAGGCTGCCGGCCCCAGTTCCCGGCAGCCTGGGGGAAGCGTAACATCCGTGCGTCTCTAGCTCCTCAGGCAGCGGTAACGCCGGCACCCGAGTGCTGCTCGCTTTCCAGGACAGTCACGCTGGGCCGCGCCGGGGGTTTCCGTGCTCAGCCCTCTGCGGGGATCCGAGAAAGGGCAGAGCCAGCCCCGGCGTCTCTCTCCGGCTGGCTGGCTCCGTGGCTCTGTTCCCTGCCACCCCGGCTGGGTCCTTTCCCCAGGGCAGACACCCCCCCCCGCCCCGCCTTGTCAGACAGACGCTAGTCACGGCCCCCCCGCACAGTGGCAGGGCAGAGCCCTCGGGACGGGGCAGCCCCACCAGCTTCGCATTCCCGCGTGTTCTCAACTGCCTCCCTGGGATGCTGGTGGCAGGTTTCAAACCATGTTCTACGTCCTGAGCTCCGTCCCCCGGCCCAGCGTGGGGTGTAGCAAGTGCGTCAGGCCGGGCGGCTGCTGGCGCAGGGCCATCAGCCACAGACTGTGCCCCCCCCGCCCCTGCGGTGGTGTGTCCCCTCCCCCTGCACTAACCCCCCTCTCCCCCTGCAGGCGGCCCGTCACTCCCACGTGGCCGTGGCCTGGCAGGGCTGCCTGGTGCTGTGCGGCGGGGAGCTGGCCGACGGCTTCCTGGCCAGCGATGTCTGGATGTACCAACCCCACGATGGGTACTGGCTGGAGTTGGCCCCCCCCAATGCCACGGGTTCTCTGCCCCCCGGCCTGGCCAGCCACGCCGCAGCTGTGGTCGACACGTGGCTGTACGTCTTTGGAGGTGAGACGTGGGCTGGGAGCCAAGACGCCTGGGTTCCCTCCCTGCCTCCGGGAGGGGAGTGGGGGCTGGTGGGTTAGCGCAGGGGGGGCTGGGAGCCAGGTGTCCCGGGGTCCCAGGCTGGGGGCTCTGGCATGGCTCCGGGTGAAGCCAGGCAGGGCTCTGGGGCAGTGTCTCCCCACAGGACACCTGTCACCAGGGCCAGAAGCCTGCTTGGCTGTGGCCTCCTGGGTCCGACCTCGGAGCGTTCAGCCCCCTGGTGAACCCGGGATCTCCTCACAGCTTTTCCCCCTGGATGGGACTCCCAGGGAGCCTCACGTGCCCCCAAAGGGCCCCCCCCCAGCCAGCAGGGACTCCCAGCCAGCGTGTGACCAGACAGGTTATTAGTTGTGGACACTGATCCTCTCTAACATCGCTCCCCTGCCGAGACGCCGAGCAACATCCCACAAAGCTCAGCGAATCCAGATGTCTCCGATCCCCGCGGACCTTCACAACGTCCGTCGTCCCCCCCCCCCCCCGTCTGACGCCTCACAAGCCTTTCGGGCACGGCCGTTGCGCCTCGTGCAGTCGGCTGCGACCCGAAGGAGGCTGGGAAGCAGACTGGGCTAAACAAGACTTAACAAATAAGCACCTTGTGCCGGGTCCCAGGCAGAAGGTTCCTGGGTTTGACCTTCTGGGGGCATCGTGGTGACCTCTGAGCCGAATCCAAACCAGCCCTGGGGGATGGGGGCGTCTAACGCACACATGGGAAATCAGGGCCGCCCCGGCGTGCGAGCGGCTCCCGCGATGGGCCCACGAACGTCTCCGCACCGAGTACGCTGGAGCCGTTACTGCAATGGGTTCTGCTACCTCTGCGGGAGCCGCTGGGCTCAGCCAGGGTGCGGAAATGGCCGCTCTGCGCCTGGTCGTCGTGGGGAACCCAGCGCAGAACAGAGCTTGTCAGCGCAGGGAGCCCTGGGCTCCCCCCCGAGTCCCAAACCAGCAGCCCAGCCTCAGCCCCGCCTGTCGCCTCCTTCGGCCTTTGTCTCCGTCCTGGGCCAGCAGGTCGACTGGGCGGCCCCAACTCCCTGGCTGGCTCCTGCAGGCGACGGGCTCCGGCCATCAGTCGCAAGGATACAGGGTGTTGGCCGGGCTCTGTGCCCAGACAGCCCGTCGGCGTCACACCTGCCCTCTAGGGGTCTCTGCAGCGATCACACCCCCTGATCCCCCCCACCTAGGTACTGGAGTAACACACGGGAAACTGAGGCACACCCAGTATTCATAACATTCCCGTTTCCTCACACAGACACCTGGGCTGTGTCCCAGCTTTGGGACAGGAGTGGGGGTTAGTAGTTAGAGCTGGGGATGCGGTGGGGGTTGGAGCCAGGACACCTGGGTTCCATCCCCGCTATCCCTGCTCCCCCCCGCAGGCCGCACAGCCGTGGACGTCTTCTCCTCGCAGATGTTCCGCTTCCATCTGGAGAGGTGGCAGTGGGAGCGCGTGGTGCCCGCCGGGGGGAAGGCGCCTGCTGCTGCCGGGCACTCCATGGTCTTCCACCCGCCTTCCCGCGCCCTGCTGGTGTACGGGGGCCACCGGCCCTCCACAGCCCGGTGAGCGGGGCTGGGTGGCGTGGCTGAGGGCTGGGTGGCCCAAGGAAAGGCTGGAGGGCCCACGGAGAGGCGGGGGGCATGGCTGAGGGGCCCAGGGAGAGGCTGGGGGTGTGGCTGAGGCCTGGGGGGCCCAGGGAGAGGCTGGGGGGGCATGGCTGAGGGGCCCAGGGAGGGGCTGGAGGGCCCAAGGAAAGGCGGGGGGGCGAGGCTGAGGGG